CCCTGCTGCAGGGAAAAACTCTGGCAGCAGGGAAAGCCTCTGGCACCTTCCTGCGACCAGAGCCTTTCCTCACCACAGGGCGCTGGCAGAAGGAAGCTGATGAAGTCTTTCCCCGCTGCCTCCCCACCACCAGAGCCTTTCACTCTTGCATGTAGCTATGCATACCAGCATGCAGTGTAGCTGTAGCTTGAGGAACAGGGAATGGTTTCGGAGCCAGAATAATGTCATTTTACACCCCACAGATTATAAACACACAGGTATCACTTCACTACTGAAATGCAGCTACCTCTGGAGTGGACGAAAGATCGGTTATCTCTGTTTTACAGATAGGAAGCTGAGGCATAGAGTGATTAAATGACTTACCCAATGTCACATAGTAACCTGTGGCAAAGCCAAGAACTGAGTCCTAACCTGGTGCCTTAATCTCAGGACCATCCTTCCTCCCAAGTGTTCTGTTTTAGGTCACCTGGGAGGGCTTCTGCCTACAGTCTTTGATGCTTCTGGATTGAAACTTAGCTGCAGTAATATGCAGGTGACATACACAGAAAATCTTGCCACCAGATGAGGTTACCCCTTAGAGAAATGCCCTTGGAGAGTTCTGGTGATGGTAGATCTCATACCTGGCAGTTCCAAGCAGGGTCAGAACTTCAGACAATCTTGGACTGATTACTCCCTGTAACCTGTGATCTCAAAACCCTTCCAGAAAAGCCAGGCACGGAGAGAAGTTGTGAGTACACAGCCAAATTCAGCGTGTGTGAACAAAACACGCAAAACCAGGGGAAAGTTACTTAGCTTAGGACAATAGTCTTTTTATCTCCCTCTGGGAACTTATTTCAACAGCCTTCAATTCCTGGCTCAAGCATTTTGGAGTCTTAGATGGGTAGCTGATTGTAATTGTGGCGTGTCAAAGTGCAGAGGCACATACACAAATAACAATTCTGCCAGATGACAAACTGTCCAAGTACAGTCTTCACCATTCAAAACACGTCCCATTAGTTCCAATCACTCACAGTCCCTTTTCGCGCTCAGATGGGGGAGGGAGTATTAAATAATGACTGTACTTAAAGGCCACAATAATACATTCTGTGCCCACCAGACGACGAGTTGCTAGGCTGTTATTTTGCCATTCGCTTTTCATGAGCATGCATTCCCCCATTCAGGAGAAATCATCACTTTCACACTCAGCTGGCCTGATTGCATGAAGAAGAATCTGATTGCATTATTCATCTGAAAGCTTCATAAAAGACTTTAAAACTCTTGAGGAGCCCTAGAGCTTTTGATGAAATTATATTTCAGTGAGGTGGAAAAAAAAAGAAAAGAAAAGAAAGTACCGAGTTAACTGGTTGCATCTGAACCCAACTTAGCAGCTGCAGATCTGATGGCTGGGCCTGAATGGAAGAAGATGGGGTGTTGTTTTTATTGAGCAATTTATTGACTATGGCATATTGTGCTACTCCTCTTCTGTTCTTCTCTCCTCTGGCCAAGGCCTGGCTATGACACCAACCCTTCAAAGAATCTTTCTTATATCAGAATGCAATAGCTTGCCAGCTATTAGCTAAGGAAATGCTGCCACCTTTGGACAGAAAGGTAGAATAGCAACTTCTCCTTAAGAACAGCTGTGTGTAGATCACAAGTTTGTCTCTGTCTCGTCCACCAACAGAAGTTGGCTCGATAAAAGATATTATCTCACCCACTTTGTCCCTCTCATAGCCTAGCATCAAAACAGCTACAAGAACACTGCAAGAAACTTTTCTAGTGTCAATCAGATCTGCTTCCCATTCTTTCCTGGATGGCTGTGAAACTGAGGTCTAGAGAGGAACTTAGTTTTTCCTTAAAATATGTTGATGAAGAAGTTTAATAAACCAGTCTTCAGACAGAAGATAAAGAGAGTTCCCTTGTTCAATTCTGGCCATCTGAGCCCTTTTCATCACCTCTTGTTTTAAAATACAAATGTCCCGTTGTTTGTATTTCTCTTTGAACTGATGGACCCAGCCAAGAACTCTCAACTGATCACCCCTGCCCCAAATGTTATGGATGCCCCAAAGTTGAAGCTTTTCTGGATCCAAATTTGGCAAATAACCCCAATTTTTATGGCATTATTATTTATATTACAGTTATGCCTAGAGCTCCAGACTGAGATGGTTCTGTACTGAGAAACAGTCCTTGCCTTAAGGGTTTACAATCTAAATAGACAAGATGAACAAGGAATGGAAGAAAGGAAGGATTTTTCTCCCTGTTTTGTAGATCGGAAACTGAGGCTCAGAGAGACTGTGAGATGCCCCTTTTTTTATACTGTGCTAGAACCAGCAATTGAACCCTGATTTATTGAGATCCAGTCTAATTCTTTAATCACAAAACCATCTTTTCTCTCTATACTAATATTATTTATTAAGAAGAAGAAGATCAGAGTTTGAAAGTAGAATTGTTTGAAAGATTTTCAGTGAAAAAGCTAGGGGTTATTTATGAAGTGAACAGTACTACAATGTGTCAAGTATCAGAGGGGTAGCCATGTTAGTCTGGATCTATAAAGAGCGACAAAGAGTCATGTGGCACCTTATAGACTTACAGACGTTTTGGAGCATAAGCATAAGCTTTCGGGGGTGAATACTCACTTCGTCAGATGCATGTACTACAATGTGTTATGACTGCAAAGAAAAATACACCCGTATCCCTAATAATAAGAGACATCTTTTTTGCATCTCCACCTCTTCTCTTCCTGTAACAGCAGTGACATCACAGTGCTGCATGTTGATAACGATGTCACAATGATACTACAAAAGCATAGTGTGTCTTAGAATGTCACAGCTGAGCAGTGGAGGAAGCTGAGAAAGAAGCAGGCAGAGGGAAATGACTAGTACTAACCTGCCTGAGAACAGAACCTTCTGTACAAAATATGTGCAGTTCGCTTTTATCCTCTCCTCTTTGTCAGTTTTCTTAGGAGGCCTGTTCCTCATGATAGCTGCCAGGATAGGCAAATATGCTTACAATTTAATCTCCAAGTACATTCTCAGCACAAAGGTAAATATAAAGTCTTCTTGAAGTAGTGCATGTTTGGGTGCTGACATGGGAAAATCTACATTTTGGAAGTCCTGGGCCTTTTAAATTTGGTTACAAAAGAAAGGGAAAGGAAACTAATAGACAATCAGACCTAAAATGCAGGTGTCTCAATATTGTGGTGGGAGGAGATGCTCACAGTTTTCTACCCACAGAATAAATCCGCATTGGGTATATGTTCTACTGATTAATAGCAATACCTATAGGACAAGAAAGAAGCCCGCAAATGTGGTAAGCTAATCAAAGTTAGATGATGCTTCAAGGACAATGAAAGTCCCAGTCCTGGGTCGTGTTGGGGTCACACTAGGGTGACCAGACGTCCCGATAAAATCGGGACCGTCCCGATATTTAGGTATGTGTCCCGCGCCCGATTGATCTTCGG